GTTCTCATGATTGACTTGTATTTTGGTTCTTGTGTTTATTGTGACAAACACTACACTGTAGTCTGTTCTCATGACTTACTTATATTTTGGTTCTTGTGTTTGGTGTTACAAACACTACATTGTAGTCTGTTCTCATGACTTACTTCTATTTCGGTTCTTGTGTTTATTGTTACAAACACTACACTGTGGCCTGTTCTGATAAACTGTTTACTGATAAGTTCCTGTATTGATTAAAGAGAGTTATTATTGGGTATTAGTGATGAGGCTTTTGTGTTGGATGTTATTTTGATTTGTACACTGAGTTCTTTTGGAAGTACATTGTTGACTTGAAGCATGGCAGGATCAGTTCACAGAAACTTCCTTTACTAAACCTCAAGCAGTTTGGACATGTTGTGGCCTAGGAATTAGCATGCTCTGAATGTGAACCTGAGGGTTCGTTGTTTATGTCCCATTGGTGTAAACATTGGTGGTGGAGTTTCCTACTTTTGGCTGTTGGTGCAATATAAGAATAACAGTCAAATCCCACTTTTTTGGTTTGACAGGAGTAACCCATGAGTTGACAGTTGGTGCTGTTGATTGTTAAACTGTCTTTCCTTTAGTCTATCAGTTCCATATTAGGGGCAGCTAGCACAGAAAGCCATAGTGTTACTTTCTTCGAAACAAACAAACTGATATCTTTAAAAGTAAACTGTAACATTTTTTAAATGAACAGCTTCATATATAAACATAGTGCTTTTATTAAATATAATGCAAAAACTTAATTTCTCTGTACTTGCTAGGCAAATTTGCGAACACTGATTTTTTTTGCCCTCAGCGTTTATTCACATAGCCAGATCAGCTGGAACCTGTCTTAAAATCAAATATTTATTATGAAAATGTAATTGATTTTAATATTTTTCTCCTGATAATTTAGTACGACTAATTTTGCTAACTTTTCAAAATAGGAAGTTTTTGTTCTCACTAGACCTAAACATGAATTTGGTATAATAGGATTTCAGCTACTTGCAGAACCACTAATTATCTCGTTACCAGTAAAACCTCTCTTGAATACCATGTTACCAGTAAAACTTCTCTTCAATAACATGTTACCAGTAAAACCTCTCTTCAATACCATGTTACCTGTAAAACTTCTCTTCAATACCATGTTACCAGTAAAACCTCTCTTCAATAACATGTTACCAGTAAAACCTCTCTTCAATACCAAGTTACCAGTAAAACCTCTCTTCAATACCAAGTTACCAGTAAAACCTCTCTTCAATAACATGTTACCAGTAAAACCTCTCTTCAATACCAAGTTACCAGTAAAACCTCTCTTC